TGCAGAGTGCTGTGGACTGTTTTTAATCTTTGCTGTACCTGCATCTTCCTCAGACCTGAAGAAAAAGTCTATTCCAACTATGCAGTTGGTCCAAAAAAGAGCTATCACACACACAAATCATCCCCTCTCTCATCTTCTCAGGATCATCACAGCTACAACTGCACTCAAAAACTACAAAATCCCCTGCTGAAAATCTAGACTTTTAGGCTAAGTCCAGATGTTCAAGAAGCCTGAGACGGAAGCACTCTTAAGTATAGCGCTTTACTCAAAGCACTCTAGACCAGAAGTTGCCAACCACCGGGCCGCGGCCCAGTACCAGGCCGCAGCAGGTTGGCTGCCAGATCATGGCATGAGCCCCCCACTCAGACCCCTGTCTGTCCACCTGGGTGAGCAGGGCAGCACTGGGAAGCTTTCTGTTGTAAAAGCTGTGCGGTGGAGCAGCCCCAGGAAGGAGGCAGCTAGCTTCGCATGCCCCATTCTGCTCCCACCAGGCTGCAGCATAAAAAAGGTTGGGAACCACTGCTCTAGACCAGGTCAGGACAGAACCGAACACGTGTGCGCTGTTTGGGGCACGGGGGCAGGGCAGGAGTGTGCCTGCACAAGCTGCAGCCAGCAACCTGGGGGCACTCGCACATACCTCCCAGGAGGCTGTGGGAGCAGCGAAGCAGCCTATCATCCCTGAGTGGCTAGTGGGTCCCCTCTCCCCAGCCCCACTTACACACCAGCTAGCTGCTGTCAGCACCAGCAGCTGGGCGGGGAATGAGAGGGAGAGGAAATGGAGCCTCTCTGCCCCATAGGTGCAGCTTGACCCCCAACCAAGACCCATGTCCGCAAGCTTGAAGAGGAGGGAGGGAATCTGTATGGCAGAGAGGCTCCATTTCCCCAGGCTCCTGGCTGCAGCCTGGGGAAATGAATCATCTGCCATGTGGACCTGGCCCATGTAACTGCCAGGAGAAAGACCCCAGGCTCCTTCCCCCATAGCCCCCCTGGCCAGGTTGCAGCATACTGCAACCCGGCTAGGGTAGCTGCTGAGAGAGAGAGACTCTGGACTTCTTTCCCCGCAGCCCCCCTGCCTAGGCTGCAGTGTGCCACAGAGTTGAGGCAGATGTTGGGACAGAAACCCGCCTCTCCTCTTTGGAGCTTGCATGCAGCATTGGTATCGGGGGCTGTCACTGATTTAGTTCAGTGACAGCTGAGAGGATGGGGCTAGCCTGCCATGACTCTCGGGCAGAGCACAGATCTGCCCTAGGCCGGAGAGCAGCCCTTCGCAACAACACCTGGGATGATGGTAATCATGCTCTAAGTAAATCCCTTGATGGGATTTAGCACAGAAGTTCAATAAAGCACTCTAACAGAAAGGACCCTCTCACTTCAGTCCCTGGAAAAATTATGGAGCAGATTCTCAAGGAATCCAAGAAAGTGATTGGGAACAGTCAGCAGAGATTCACCAAGGGCAAGTCATGCCTGACCAACCAGAGTCCAGAGGAGAGCCACGTACATGATCAGAGGGCAGGAAAATAAGCCTTATGAAGAGAGGCTGAGAGCCATGGGACTCTTCAGCTCAGTGGTGACCTGGTGGCTACCTATAAGTACATCAGGGATGTGTATCAGGATCTGGGGGAACGTCTGTTCACCAGAGTGCCCCAAGGGATGACAATGACCAACGGTCACAAACTCCTCCAAGACCATTTTAGGCTGGACATATGGAAAAACGTCTTTACTGTCCGAGCCCCCAAGGCCTGGAATAGGCTCCCTCCAGAGGTGGTGCAAGCACCTACTCTGGACTCCTTTAATAAGCATTTGGATGCTTATCTTGCTGGGATCCTTTGACCCTAGCTGACTTCCTGCCCTTGGGGCAGGGGGCTGGACTCAATGATCTCCTGAGGTCCCTTCCAGCCCTAATCTCTATAAAACGTATGAAAAACCAGATTGCCTTCTCTGACTGGCTCTATGGGTATGGGGAGAACGGGGATGTGATATACCTTGACTTTAAGAAGGCTTTTGATATGGTTTCCCACAACATTCTCTTGGGCAAGCTAAGAAAGTATGGGTTAGATGAATGCACTGTAACATGTGTAGAAAACTGACTGGATCATTGGGCTCAGAGGGTAATGGTCAATGGCTCGATGTCTAATTGTCAACCAGTCTCAAGTAGAGTGCCCCAAGTGTCGGTGCTGGAGTCAGCTGTCTTCAATATTTTCATCAATGACCTAGAAGGTGGCATAGAGTACACCCTTAGCAAGTTTGCAGATGATGCCAAGCTGGGAAAAGTAGTAGCTATGCTGGAGGGTAGATTTAGACAAACTGAGAGATCTAGACAAATTGGAGGCTTGAACCAAAAGAAATCTCATGAGGTTCAATAAGGGCAAATATAAAGTTCTGCACTGAGGATGGAACAATCCCATGCACTGCTACAGGCTGGGGACTGACTGGATGGGCAGCAGCTCTACAGAAAAAGACCTAAGGGTTACAGTGAACAATAAGCTGAATATAAGCCAGGAGTGTGCCCTTATTGCCAAGAAGGCTAATGGCATACTGGCCTGCATTGGTACAGGTGGTTCGTGGTGGATGGGTCGGTTTCGACCTGGAAGGGTGTGGGCAGTGGGGTCCCGCAGGGCTCAGTCCTTGGACCGATACTCTTTAATGTCTTCATCAGTGACTTGGACGAGGGAGTGAAGTGTACTCTGTCCAAGTTTGCGGATGACACAAAACTGTGGGGAGAAGTGGACACGCCGGAGGGCAGGGAACAGCTGCAAGCAGACCTGGACAGGTTGGACATCTGGGCGGAAAACAACAGAATGCAATTCAACAAGGAGAAATGC